ACTTCGGCTATTAAAAACTTCAAGAATTCTTCTTTTCAATTTCCGATTGCTATCAAAGATTGTCTGTTTATTTGAACAAGAGGCCAGTGTTACTTCGCCCCGCCCATACCCTAATTAAAGACTGCATTCTAGACATGGCCCGACGTCCAGATGCAACAGATGATATATGTATATTGTATCGCATAGTTCAAAGCGCACCTTGAGTTACTTTCATCTATAGATACGCCTTCATATCTACAGACAGTTGGCTGCGAATCGACACATTCCATATGTCGGCCTACATGCCACTGGGCTCTTGATAAGCTGCTATCAAATGCCGCCCCTTTGGGCTCTGATAAGCCCCTTCGATACTGTCGCGCAGCGGAAATCAAATCATTTACATAACGGCCAAAACGCTTTCCACTGGCAACGGTTGGCGCTCCACAAATTGAGCCGCTTTCTTGGCACTAATGTGCAAACTCCAGCAAGCAAGACTAATGACTAATGAGGCTCAATGCATTTGAAGTCGCAGAACAGCTAGTCAGCTGCTTGGCTTATGCATGGGCTCGACTAGAAGTTGTCCTACAATAAAATATATATCGCAGTAAATCGAAAGTTAACCCCACATTGAAAGGCAATGGTCTTCTATAAAAAGTTGTTCTATGTAAATATATTGTCATTTTAACTTCTCATTCTAATGAAAATTATATGTATCATTTATGGCCTTAGTCTTATGGTACCCTTTAAAATAATTTGCATCTCTACAGGGTATACAAATCAGACTAACAGCTAGCAAATGTCTGCAGACACAGGTATCAGGTGTACCAGTTCAATAGCGCGCCTCCTGCAGCCCGCCTTTGTACATCTCACAGACAACGTCGCTGTCTGCATTGTTGTTTATTTACGCAGCGTAGAACGTTCATGTTTGTCATTTGCGTTGCAATAACTTTTACTTGGGGGCATCTGCAACTCGTTCCCAACTGCCCCCCCCCACACACACACACATACACACAAAACAGAAATAAGAAAAAGGCAACGTTTACATAAAAATGTATGCACAAGTCCAAGAATTTAGCGCCTGTTTAGTCTTATAGGCATTTGAGCAGCAGGAGAGAAGCTGGCGGAGCTTGTGCTCTGCTAATTGATATGCGTCTGCCTCGATGGCAAACAATTCTGGGTGTAAATTGAAGTTAATTTGAAAGCTGCAATTGCATTGCGCAAAAACGTCGAACACCGAGAGGAACAACTCAATTGCAAATGAAAATGGAAAGTGTTGTTTAAAAATGCTGTTGTCTGTTTCATATACATTTGCTCGGTGCAGATGGTTTTTCGGCTGTAATGTGTGTCATTTATGACTAAAATCTTTGGCAAACAATCAAATATTTCGAATGTATCTATTCACAAGCGTGCTCTTCTTTGCGCTTCTCACAATCGCATGCGCCAGTCCAGCGCCCCTCTCTGCGCTTCTCATCAAAACCAGCCGCCCCATCACGCACTATACAATACTATAAGCTCTCTGTTTGGCACATCGATAAATCGCATCAAATTCAATTAAATCCACAAAAAGCAAATAAAACATTGACCTACTTAAAGCCAAGTCTGTTGGACATTATGACGTCAGCGTCAGGCAAAGTCTGCCGCCTTAGCCAGTGAAAAATGCAGCGTGGAATGACTAAACTTATTGATTTTCATTGGATCATCCCCCTCAAGGCTTAGCTAAAGTGCGTTTCAACGATTTAGTGCAGGCAAATCTTAAATGAATGAGTGTGAATGCGAGTGAATCATCAAGCTGGAAAATATTTACCAACAAATGCAATTTGCATGCGAATAGACATTAGCAATTAAACAAATGATTAGTCACCAAACGTGTTACAAGCCTTTTTTATTAACGGCTTAAGTAGCGAAAAACTGGCAAATAACTTTGCCATGTGCTCAGTATTTGACGGGGAACGAGTAAATCGTGTGAATGATTCACATAGTTATAAAATTAATGAAAATAAAGACACAAACAAATTGTGTAAACAACATAATAATAATAACAAATAGTCGAGACTGTTTGCATTTGTATATTTTTGGCGCCTTTTCACTTAGAACTTTTGTATCTTGATGACGCCATTTGCCGATTCGAATACTAAGCAAAAATCAAAAACATCGACAATAGCAATGAATAACGACCTTTATATTGTGAATGCGTGAAGGCGTCGAGCGATGAGCATTTAAATATTCATGGCACAGACTAGTTCCGAATTCCGTAAAACTAGTTAAGAGAAAAAAAAGCAGGAGTGTTCGACCAGTTTCAGGGTGAATTTAAAAGCTTACGATATTAAAAAGGTAGTAAATATTAAAAAATTCAAAGTAATAGAATCAAATAAAATAATTCTTTAAAATTTAAACATTAGCTGCCAATTTGTTTAGGAATTTAAAAATATATATATATTTATAAAAATGAATATGATTCATTTATATCTTATCTAGAAACCCAAACATAATTGATATTCCGCATGACAATTAAATCATTTTTGACAACTGGGGAACTGTAAGAAACGAAAAAAACAATATGATAAAATTCAAGTAGTTCTTTCCCAAGACTCTTTATGTTCACTTGAAGCACTTGTAGGGCACTGAACCAAGTAGCTGCTGGTCTTCTAAAGACGTTTGTCTTTGGGCTGGCTGGCTATTTGATCAGACGCAATAATCGTATGATTTATTGGGGCATTGATCCCCGAAGCTTACTCGAAATATGACAACTTTATCCGACTGTCAGCATGTCGAATGTCGCCCACTCTGCGGCGAGATCAGAACACACGTGTTTCTGTTGGTGCTCTTAAATCCATTCTGGAGCACCTTTGCCTTAGGCCATTTCTTCATAGCTCATTTGGGCAGTCAGCATTTCGGCTGGCCGTCCGTCAATCATACGCCACGTGGGCGATGGGCACAGCACCCACATACCGCACGCCTCAGGTGTCGCTCATAGCAGTTGCTTGGTGTGTAGGGGCTGAGTAAGGGGTGAAATCATAGAAATCACATAGTCACTTTGCTAAGCGGCTTGCTGACTGCCCTTTTCTTTTCTTATGCCAATTCCGATGTGTGGTTCCGATTCGGCATCCGATTTCAAATGTGACCCGCTGTGCCAGAAAGTCAACAAGCGTGCTAAACGCTTGTGCCCCCCATCGCATTTTCTTGGAGTTCAGTGGTTCAACTTTGGAGGCCCACATAATCATCTCTGAGCAGCTCTCACGTCTGCCTTTGTCTTCGCCTCTGTCTGGGTTGTCACATTTTGACCCAAATGTAGCACCAAGCGGCAGCTCTATAAATAAATACTGAAAACTTAAGTAAAAACATGTGTTGACTGCCGTTTGCCCCAAAACAACCAGCTAAACAACAACCACAACAACAACAACAATAAATACTAATATTAAGTGCTATTGTTTTTCTTATACACACGAGTTCAAGCTGCGGGCCAACAAAACTTTTCGCTGTTTTCTTTATTCACGTTTTTTGTCTTTTTAGCAATCTCTCTAACTTTGACGCTTTTGTCTTTGAGTTTTTCTACCTCGCAATAAAAGTAGATATAAGGGGTATGATAAAAGGTTATTTATTGATCTAGATTTAAATATAATAATAAATATAGATATAGATATAGAGAAATATAGATATATAGATATATAGATACATAGGTATATAGATATATAAATATAGATAGTTCAAATTATTTCAGAGTACAGAGTATATTCTAGCTGGTCAGTTTCAACTTTTGCAGTTTTCCTAACTGCTTGTTAATTTGCAGCATTTTGTTTCGGCAGTCAGCTGTTAAGTGGGCGGGGCCCGCCCAAACATAGTTTTGTAACAGAGCTCACCTGTTGCACACAGTTTTCTTTCTGTTACTGTTATTGTTACCAAACTCTTTTACGGCTGTTTTGATGTAATTGTATTTGTAACAGTGCAACTCGCCCCGGGCTTGTAATTACATGGCGTCTACAAATGATGCACTTGTTGTTGCAGTGTATTTTTGGAAATGAAGTAACATTAAGCGAGCGTTGGTAGCTTTGGTAAATAATCGTAATAATGCAATTTGCCGTGCTTACCTATTTGATTACGGTTGTTAAGCAATCGTGTCTTTAATTGCCATGAACTTCTGATTTAAGCGCTTGATTTAATATGCCAAACCAATTAATAAAATTCGTGGAAATCAGTATTCATTTGTCTGTTGATTTAAGTGAATTTAAGGTGCTGATTAAAGAAATAATATAAAATCGGAAGCACTTTGTGTGTTCCTTAAGTCAGACATGAACTTTAAACAGGTGCTTAGTTTTTAATAGAACAAACTTTAGTATCTAGACCAAAATGCTCATATTGATTTATAATATCATTTAAGTATATCCAATAATATGTCTTTACTAAAAGAGCACTGATTTGAATCCTTACTTAAAACACTCAGAATTGTTACCTTTCTTCACGATCTAAGTGAATATTCCTTAAATCAAATCTGTCTAGAGAACACCTGCAGAAAGTTTTATAAATTGATAACATATCCATCGCTAGACATTGCCTTTGCCCCGCCCTTTGTTCAAGTGACCCAATTTTTGATCTGCCGCATCTATGCAACTGCCGATCTAAATCTTTTGGCGCCTATTTAATTGTACACAAAATAAACACACAAACGCACTCTAGTCTGTAATTTAATCAATATGAACAACAGCTACAACAACAAGAATTAATCGCATCGCCAACTGAGCAACGCCCGCGGCGTCCAAGACAAATTAAGCCATCAATGTCCAGCTCCAAAAACAAACTTCAATTTGGCTGTTGAAAAATAAATTTGGAATCAAAATCATCGACAGTTGCCCAGCGGGCATATACGCAGGGCAACCCACCTGTATTTTTATTGGGCATATTCACAGGAGATCTTAAATCTACATGGGGAACTTCAATGCATATATGTATATTCAAATGCCTATCAAACCATTTGAATTTGTTATGCTTTTATTTATTCAACTAATGTACGACTTTTTCGTTTGCAGCTTTCAGGTTGGCTCCATCTACACATACATTGGCGAGGTGTGCGTCTCGATGAATCCCTACAGACAGATGAACATCTATGGGCCGGAGACCATACGCAAGTACAAGGGTCGTGAGCTGTTCGAGAATGCGCCCCATGTGTTTGCCATCGCAGATGCGGCATACAGGGTGCTCAAGCAGCGCCACCAGGACACATGCATACTCATCTCTGGTGAATCTGGTGCGGGCAAAACGGAAGCCTCCAAGATCATCATGAAGTACATTGCGGCGGTGACCAATGCACAGGGACAGAATGAAATCGAAAGGTAAGGCAAATAATGTTGCTAAGAACTATTTGTATATTTAAATGAACTAGTTCGCATAGTAAATGAACCACCGTTCAGAGCTTAGCATTCTTAAATTGTGATAACAGAATCAAAAGCAGACTTTAACTAGATGAGTGCAAGTTTCAAAGGGCAATAGTTGGTAAAGGGAACTAGTTCTCAAAAGGGAGCTTACCAAGTGGTTCACAAGAGATAAAGTTTTTATGAATAGAAATAGTTCAATGAACTAGTTCTGGAAAGGACTAATTACAAAGCAACTTCAATTAGAAATAGTTCAATGTTATAAGCTAATAAAAAGCTGAACTTAAGTTCACTTCGCTGTATTAAAACGCGCTCACAATTGCAGTTAGTATGGAAATGTTTAGATTAGAGATTCACCATGAGACTGGGAACTGGCGTTTGAATGGAAACTGTAACCAGCTCGTGAATGCCAAGGCATGACAAATTTCCCATTGTGTTGCATGCAAATTTTAAATGAAACTTTCAGCAGCGCCTCATTAGAGCAGAGCCAGCATTCCCCAGATACGAATACCCCTACTATGTAGTGTATTTAGTGTGCTTTCCTTGACCCGTGGACACATGACATCACTGCGAATACGACTTTATAATAGAATTAACAAAATTAAGTGTACCGCTAATTGCTCACGCTTCCAACTACACGTATTTTGCCCAGTCCAGTCTAAGAAAGCATTTAATCGTTCCATGGCAATTTAGGGCGAACTATAAAAACTGAATGGCACGGGCCGCAGAGTAGATGGGGTGGGGCGGGGAACTCAGCCAAACCCTAGTCAATGCCTTAGCTTAATTGCCACTTTGGCAATTTTTAGTGCCTCAAACTTAAAACAATTTAAGCTGACATTTATTGTCTGTTTGTGCGAGGGATTAGGGCGAGTGCCATTTTCTTAATTAGTTTTTGGGATGGGTCGGATGGGTTCACCCTAATAAAAATGCAATTATAATGGAAAATGATTTTTTATTCGCTTTCAGAGTTAAGAACGTGCTTATACAGAGCAATGCAATACTGGAGACATTCGGCAATGCAAAGACCAATCGCAATGACAACTCGAGTCGCTTTGGCAAGTACATGGACATCGAGTTCGACTACAAGGCGGATCCAGTGGGTGGCATCATAACCAACTATTTGCTGGAGAAGTCGCGTGTGGTGCAGCAACAGCCCGGCGAGCGTAATTTCCACAGTTTCTATCAGGTGGGCAAACTACGATGCAAGCCTAAGGCAAAGGGTGTGGGCCTATTGAACTGGGCCCACATACGAGTGTGAGTGTGAGTAGTGTGAGTGTGTGTGTGGACGCGTTATTGTTATTTACCCAAGTGAGTCAGCAGGACGGCGTTGGTAATGCGGGCTGGTTCAGCCAGGTGGGTGGCAATTCGCAGCCTGGTGTGAGGTCAACGACGGGGCGCGGCTCTTGTGCATAACTAGATGTATATGTAAAAACATATATTTACAATAAATATTTGTAAGATATTCTGGGTATTTTAGTAGGGTGTCAATTTGCCTATATGCCTAGCTATAAAAATAGTTATTACTCTGCAAGCATAGCTGTTTTCTGATTCAGCAATAAAAGCTATCAAGAAAATCGTAAACATTCCAATAAAAGCTTATTACAAATACAAGTTAATAGGGCTCCTGATATGTCCAAGAACTTGTAGGTTCTTAACTATGTTCATTAAAAATGTTCTACTCTCAGAAAAATCTTAAGCAAATTAAGCCTACAAATATGTGAGACAGAATTTGAAGCCCAAAAGTAATTAATTAATTAACTCAATTGCATTTGCCGCCAGCTGAGCTCACAATCTATCAACTGACTGTGCAGAGCTGCTGAAATTCATACATGGTATTCATGTATGATATCATTTAACATGTATGAAAGCTTAGATAACAGAAAGTCATTCATAAGAAATGTAAGCACGTCAGCAATTACTTGCTTATTCATCATTTGATAGAATGTAGCTCTGGGAATGCAGATAATACATGTGTCGTAATCGTCCGAATCGTACTTAGTATTAGAACATATAGCTGCCTTAGAAAACATCTATCAAAAATTGAGTTCTTATATGAGTAGGAACTCATTTAGTTTTTTTTAAGATATCCTAACTAAGCTTAAACATTGTGACTATTTGGGTAACAATTTTTAAGATCAAATCGCCATTTGAAGAAAATCTCATGGAAAAGATCAAAAAATAAATATCCCAATTACATTACAGCCCAGAATAATAAATTCTCCTAGAATATCCGCAAAATGTTATATGCTAAATGCCCTTTAGGGTATTTAATGTACGGTGTGCCTTAGACAGCTGTTGTTTCCTGTTCTTATATAGCATATATACTTTTCGAGTATATGTGATTTTATCTACTCACTTCTACTCTTGAAAAGGCAAAAAGAAACAAGTGAGCGCCCATTGTTGATTCTAGCTGTTAAATTTAGCTTGAAGGCGTTAATTGTTTCAGACCATTTATGTAGCCAAAGAATTTCCAGCTTTATTTCACCATTTAACACCCAAACTAAATCAAATTTCTTAATTAAGCGACTCTTAGATTTGATTTGATATGATTTCTTCCCTCTACATTTTAGCCTAGTATTTGATATGGGGTTTTTCCTGGCACATGCCTTTGTTTATTTATTTATGAACAAAGACAGCTTATAGATATTATGAGCTGCAGAGTATTTGTTTATGTGCTGTGCGTGGTATCTAAGCAAACATTTTGCACCTGTTGTCTACAGACTTTAGCCAGAGTTATTGATGTATGTTTTTTTTTTTGGAATTCAAAAATTTCGTCGCGCTCTGCCTTACACGAACTAGTGTCGGGGAATGTGACTCTATTTTAACTTGGTTGCCTGTTCAACTGCGAAATTCCGTAGCTCATTTTAAGCGGATCGCAAATGGCAACTGGCGACAATTAAAGCGGAAGTTCAATTATGGTCAACATTTGTGCTAATTGTCTGCTGTACTAAATAGTTGAACATTCTGTTTTGGATATCGACAAGCCAAATGGGACTATGAATGACAATAAATAGAATAATGTCATATTCGAAGACATGACCTTGTACTCGACGATAGCCTGCTTAGATTACCAAAAGTATGATTCATGAGATATTTATAAAAATGTTGTGCGACTCATGCAGGACACTCCTGATGACATGTCTTGCAAGTAGTCTTCCATGACATTTTAAATGACAAGTCTATGAGTGGTCGCCTTATAACATTATAAAATGAGTAAAGAGCGAGGCATTTTTAGAATGAATATTAAATATTCACTATTTAACAGCAAATTTGATTTATAACTTAAACATATTATATTTACTGTGTTCCTTAACAGTTGCTGCGTGGTGCCAATGACAATGAGCTGCGTCAATATGATCTGCATAAGGAGACGGCCAAGTATCATTATCTGAACCAGGGCAGCATGGACATACTCACCGAGAAGTCGGATTATAAGGGCACCTGCAATGCGTTCAAGACGCTGGGATTCCAGGCGGACGAAGTGCAAACCATTTGGCGCACAATTGCATCCGTCTTGCATTTAGGCAATGTGGAATTCCAAAGTGAGTGTTCAGATCAAGATCAACAAAGTTCGTCGACTAAACTGCCCTTTCGCAATAGCCATTGAGGATGAGATGGTGATTAGCAACAAGTCGCATCTGCAGTCAGCCGCCAAGTTGCTGCAGGTCACCGAAACGGAGCTGTCGGCGGCGTTGACCAAACGCACCATTGCCGCTGGTGGCAATGTCATGAAGAAGGATCACGATGCCGTCCAAGCGGAGTACGGCAAGGATGCATTGGCCAAGGCCATCTATGATCGCCTCTTCACTTGGATCATATCGCGCATTAATCGCGCCATTCTCTTCCGCGGCAGTAAGACCCAGGCGAGATTCAATTCTGTTATCGGCGTGCTAGACATTTATGGCTTTGAGATTTTCGATTCGAACAGCTTTGAGCAGTTCTGCATTAACTACTGCAACGAGAAGCTGCAGCAGCTGTTCATTGGTGAGTTAACTAAGCAGTGGCCCAGGAAAGTATCTCTAACTGGGTTATATTCATTGCAGAGCTGGTGCTGAAGCAGGAGCAGGAGGAATACCAACGTGAGGGCATCGAGTGGACCAATATTGAGTACTTCAACAACAAGGTGAGCAACTCTATAAAATTCTTGTTGTGCACAACTCATGCCTGATCTCTTCCTGCAGATCATTTGCGATCTCGTTGAGCAGCCGCACAAGGGCATCATAGCCATTATGGATGAGGCCTGTCTGAGCGTGGGAAATGTCACCGATGACACCTTGCTGGGCGCCATGGACAAGAACCTGAACAAGCATCCGCACTATACCAGTCGCCAGCTGAAACCAACCGACAAGGAGCTAAAGCATCGCGAGGATTTCCGCATCACGCACTATGCTGGCGATGTCATCTACAATATCAATGGATTCATTGAGAAGAACAGGGATACGCTGTATCAGGACTTTAAGCGTCTGCTGCACAATTCCAAGGATGCCAATCTCAGCGAGATGTGGCCCGAAGGCGCACAGGACATTAAGAAGACCACGAAACGTCCACTGACCGCCGGCACGCTGTTCCAGCGCTCCATGGCCGATCTGGTCGCCACGTTGCTGAAGAAGGAGCCCTTCTATGTGCGCTGCATCAAGCCCAATGACATTAAGAGCTCCACGGTATTCGACGAAGAGCGCGTCCAGCATCAGGTGCGCTATCTCGGTCTGCTGGAGAACGTGCGCGTGCGTCGCGCCGGCTTTGTACATCGCCAGCGCTACGACAAGTTCCTGTTGCGCTACAAGATGATCTCGCAGTACACGTGGCCCAATTTCCGTGCTGGTAGCGAACGCGACGGAGTCCGTGTGCTCATCGAGGAGAAGGGCTTTGCGCAGGATGTGAAATATGGCCACACCAAGATCTTCATACGCTCGCCCCGCACACTTTTTGCCCTTGAGCAGCAGCGCAACGAGATGATACCGCACATTGTGACCCTGCTGCAGAAGCAGGTGCGCGGCTGGATAGCCCGGCGCAACTACAAGAAGATGAAGGCCGCCATCACCATAATGCGTGCATACAAGACCTACAAGCTGCGCAGCTACGTGCAAGAGCTAGCCAACCGCTTCCGGAATGCCAAGCATCAGCGCGATTATGGGCGCAGTATACAGTGGCCCCTGCCACCGCTAGCTGGCCGCCAGGCGGAGGCCAAGCTGCATCGCATCTTTGACTTCTGGCGCGCCTACATGATACTGCGCAAATATCCGCGCAACGAATGGCCGCAGCTACGTCTGCAGATAATTGCGGCCACAGCTATTGCCGGCCGTCGTCCCTACTGGGGACAGCAGCGTAAGTGGCTAGGCGACTATCTGGCCAATTCACAGGACAACAGCGGCTACGATGCCTACAGCGCCATTGTGACCAAACTAAAGAACAGCGGGGCCGGAGGCGGCGAAAGCTTCCGCCAGGTGCTGTTCTCAAGCTTCGCCAAGAAGTTTAACAAGCACAACAAGCAGGCGGATCGCGCCTTCATTGTTACCGATACGAACATCTACAAGCTGGATGGCATCAAGAAGAAGTTCCGCGACATGGACCGCTGTATGCCCATTCGAGAGGTATTGTGTGGCAGTAAATCTTACTTGGAGTTCGTATGCTTGAAACCTCTTTTCTACTTTTTCGCTTGCAGCTGACCTCCATTAGCATAACGCCTGGCCGGGATCAGCTAATTGTCTTCCATTCACCCAAGAACAACGATCTGGTCTTTGCGCTGCAGAGCGAGTCGACAGCGCCGCTGAAAGAGGATCGCATTGGCGAACTGGTGGGCATTGTGTGCAAGAAGTACCACGAGTAGGTATCTTGATATATCCCTTAAGGCACCTAACTAAATATCATATTCAATTCCGCTTGCAGCGCTACCGGCACCGAACTGCGCGTGAATGTGGGCAACAATATTGCCTGCCGGCTGGGCGATAAGTCGCGCACCATTGTCGTCGAAGCGGCGCCCAATGTGGAGAATCCAAGTTTCCGTCATTCCGCTGGCAACATCATCTTCGAGGTGCCTGCCTCGTATTGTGTTTAGGGTGAAACAAAGTTAAAGAACCCAATGTAAATTAACTAGGCTAGTACATTTGTGAGCCTTGGACGTTTGTCCCACTCTACTTCAATTCACCTGCAACGTGTACTTGAACCTTCTCCTGTGTATGCTGTGCCTTCTGCCAACTCCTTTGTAGTTATAGTCAGATCCGTATTGAGAAGTTTGTTTCCCTTGTGTGTTGTATGTTTGATAACTGAAAACCTGCATGAGGTCTCCTTAAGTAAACCAAAATATTTTATGTTATAGTCACAAAAAATAAACAATAACATCAACGATTTGTATATTTTTCTATTAATTTATAATTAAATTTGTGTATTTGTAAACAATTAAGGCAAAAGCGAGAGCCTTCAAATAACACCTCCAGAATAGAGAGATGGCAACTTCGTTATAAAGCTGGTTGAGTCGGCTTCGATAAAAAGTATTAAATGTACTTTGTGCATTTGTCAACTTTAGCTTTTAAGCAATTATTAACTGATTTATGTTTGTATTTAATGAAAATGCACACAAACCGCAAAAACGCAAAGTAATTTTTGTACTTAAAACAAATTCAATTTTGAAAGTGTGCCATTTGCAAATATTTCTATTCTATTATTATTGTCAACTATTTATAAAAGTACTATAAATAAAAGTGTATAAATGGTAAAATTCATTTGTTTACTATGTTAATTTTTAAAATTAGCGAAAATTAGTTATCGAAATTCGCAATTTTATATATATATTTGTATATGTTTGTGACAGGCAGAAGGAAGCATGTCCGACCCTATAGAGTATATATATTCCTTATCAGTGTAAATAGAAATGTTATAGATTTTTGAAAATCAACCTTTTTTGAAGATTTAATCAGATATATATGTCTTGTTTTTAGAATCGAAATAGACCCTTTGTTATGTACAAGCTAATTATAAGTAGATGAGCCCTTAAGTTATGCTTAGAGTAGGCTACGAAATGTCACGCTTTGATTCTGAGATTTTCGACATTGGCTTAAAAAATCAGTATCACTCAAAACAGTTAACACAACCACAAAGTACATATTTTTTCTAGAACTCCTAGTAACACGATTTTATTTTATAATTTTTTTGTTATTGTTATATCACCGACAATTTCCGGATTTGAGGAACATGAATATAAATCCCAATGAGCCACGACAAACAAATGCTTTTGAAGACTGGGAGCAGATGGTTTCGGCCCTGCCACAATCTGCATCAGGTCGTGCCCTAATTGGAAATAGTAGTCCGAATGGAGGAGAACGATCGGCCATGCTGCGCTATCATCAGCGTGGCCCTAGACATGGACATGGACATGGACATGGACACAGGCATAGATACTTGCACGCTCGAGCCGAGGCTGCATTATCCACGCTGCGGCGCAGGAATCGTCGTCCAACTTGCAAGAATTGCCGTCATCTGGGACGGGTTAATAAGCACTATAAGCGTCTGCTAAAGCGACTGCGTATTCGCGTGCGTCGCACTAATGAGCGCCAATAGGAATCTGCTCGACCGATCCCCAACTCGTTGCGTGTGTCGTGCTTTATAATTTTCATTACAAATTTTGTGCATCCATGTCTGTTTATTAAACTGAGATCCTCTTGGCAGTGTATATATATATATCTATATATATATAATTTGTGTGTGCTTTAGTTGTGTGCGTTGCCCTACTCCTCTCCTGAGACCCTGGTGCGGCCAATTGAATGATCGGCAGAGACCAAAATAAAGTGCGCCGCGAGCGCTGAGGCACATGGCCCAAGTACTCAACACGGCGGCGTCGGTGCCGCCAATTGATAAAAGATAAAAATAAAGAGTATGCCACGCAAGAATTTGTTTTATTTTGCTCGCATCTCGAATCTCGATTGCATTTGCTTGTAAATTCTTGAGACGAACGCGCGGCGCGTGCATTGAACGTTTCAAGGCGATTACATAAATCGAACGAAATAATAAAGTGAAATATGCAGAAAACGCTCAAAAAGGAGCTCAGCTTCTCGCTGGACACGCTGGAACGCTATCGCGCCAAATATGGACGCAGTGCATCGCTGGACACAAATGGACACAGCCAACAGATGGAGCCACAGCGCGATGCAGCACATACAACAGCCCCAGCCCCAGCCCGTTCCCCGCCGCCCTCGCTCTTTAAGGCCAACTCTCCACCCAAGCTGACCAAGCTGCAGGAGCTACAACAGAAGAAGGAGGCGTATATGCGGGCGCGCGAACACGAGCGCGAAATGGAGAAGTTACAGCGTGCGGATAAAGGCAACAGCAATGGCAGTGCCAGCCTGGACCTAACCAGACCCAGCAACAGCAGCAGCAGCAGCAACACCGCAACTGGGAGCAGCAGTAACAGCGCCGCCAAGAGTAGCACCGCCTCGTCGGTGGCCGCCGCCCTGGCGCAGCAGCAGGCGAGCAAAACGGCCGCCGGCTACAGCAATTGGAGCAGCAATCACACAACGTTGAGTGGCCAGCCGTGGTGTGCGATCAGCGATCTTATGTATTTCTGTGACAAATACGAGTTCAAGACACTCAGCACGAGAGATCTGAAGACGCACCAGGAGATCGTCGCAGAGGTGCGTGCCTTGCTGTCAGGCAAGGCGCCATTTGATCAGCGCACACGCTTTCCCGGCAACATACACGATCCGGAGAATTTGTGGGTCTGCATTGGACGCTGCGCCAGCGTTGAATATCATTTGCAGCGCATCATTAGCGTCTTCCGAAAGCCGCTCAATCAGCTGACACCGGACAAACAGCGCGCTGTGCGTCAGAACTTTCATCTGGCTGTGAGTGAACTCCGGCTGGACATCTCGGCGCGCATCAGCGAGGTGCGCCTCTACGATCGTCTGGTGTTCGAGCGCGAATTTCGACTCGAGTGGCAGGATGAAGCCTAGAGAAAGAGATTGCGGGTTAGAGTGGGTACAATTGGTGATTTAACAAGCACAACAGTGGACAACAATTTATTTCATTTCAAATTTGGTTTGGAATTACTTTTCTATTTTGTCTTTTGGTGCGCAGTGAAAAAGATTACAAAAATATTACAGGACTTATGGAAAAACACACACATACATATGCCACTTAACAAATGCTTGAATATGTATGCATATTGCTTTCAATAACTAAAACTATAAATTATTAGACATATACTTATCTATATATATATTTATATATATATGTACATAATTGGTATAATTGAGTAAACATCTTTTTTTGGTTACCAAAAATAAAGCACTTGGTGGGCAATGCTGAAACTTTGCTTAAAAAATACGCAATTTGCATTATGAAACATTGCTCAAAGGTGTGTGTGTGTGTGTGTGTGCGTGGTGCTTAAATATCTAGCGGAAGATTTAAAGTTGAACATACATATTAGTTTAAGTTAGTTACAGTTTTGCGCCTTGGCAACTCGTGGGCTGACTTCAGTGGGCTACGTGACATTCGCAACGTGTGCATTTAGTTAACAAGTTTATCAACAATTGTAAGAGTCTAACAGAACTTCAGTTTCATTTTGCTGGTCTTGGGCACATTGCGTATGGTTAGCGAAATGCGTGGTGCTCGACGCACCAGATGATCCCCAATTTTGTATGTGTTCTCGCATAGATTGTAATTACAGATGCGATCGCATAGCGTATCCTCGTTGATCTCGCTAATGGCATGCATATAGTCGCTATACAGTGTGTCCTTCAATATGAGCAGGCTGCGTGGCTCCAAGAGAAGCTTGAATAGCACCTCGCCAGCTGCCTCGCCGGTGGTTTCGCGCTTGGTAAACTCCAGCACGGTGTGGGCACCACATGAAATGGTCGATATAATTGGATAGAAGAGCGGTCCGTCTGTGTGCGGCAAAATGCCCTGGCCCGGCAGGTATTCATTGACCAGCACATGATTGGCATTTTGCGACTCAAAGATGCCCAGATTGTTGACCTTGTCCACATAACTTTGCAGCCATTCGGGTATTTCTTCGGCTATCATGCCGTTGGGATGCGGCACACCGCCGTAGTTGACCAGGCGGCGATTGAGCAACTGCGTCCAGCGTGGCTTTGGTGTCCGCTCAATGTGACTTAATATGGATTGCTCTTGATCTGAGGTGATGAAGTTCGGAATGTACATGACCGTTGATGGGCACTACAATACATGTTTTATGCTGGTTAGCAAGTAGTCGATACTGAGACAACACCTGCTTACCTTGCGCACCTCAAAGTCGGTGAAATCCATGACTAAGGCTACTTGCTAATGCTCTAATCTAAAAATTGCAGTTATTGCAAATCAATATTTGTATCCCGTTGGCCCGGTCATTTGGCCTTGGAGATGCTCTTTCTGACAGCTGGCAGCATATTGTGGTGGTCCACCGATATCCTGTCATCGCAACTCTGAAAGTGCATTGAAATAATTCATATAATATCAATATTATATTTTATTTATATTTTTTATATGAAAAATTTATAGCAAAAAATCAAAAATACTTTTCAACAAGTTTCGAATTTGATTGTGTTTGTTCCATAACGTAAACTGCATAATAACGCAAAATGTTAAACTCAACGAACTATCACGTCCCTGGTTTTGTAACTCTTCACAACACTGCATTTTGATATATCGATTATTTTATATTTAGCAGCTGCCAGCTGGTTTGACTGCAAAATTCCGCCAATATTTTAGCGTCGATACCAACGTCCAACTTACTTGATAGCCACTTTGGGTGTTTCTCACATTTATTTTAGTGATTAATCCTCATATACACATTGCAGATGGCCTCGCCTGTTATTGACGATATTCAAACAGCTAAGAAAATGAAACTTGATAAGAAATGCGTTTTGCGTTATGCCAAAATCATTGAGCATGCGCTGGAGCCACAGCGTGGATCTGAACGAGCCGCCGGCTTTGACTTGCGCAGCGCCTACGACCTCATAGTTCCAGCCCGTGGTAAGGCTATTGTCAAGACCGATCTCCAGGTTCAGGTGCCAGAGGGTTCCTATGGCAGAGTGGCGCCTCGTTCCGGCCTGGCCGTGAAGAACTTCATCGACGTGGGCGCTGGCGTTGTTGATGAGGATTACCGAGGCAATCTGGGTGTTGTCTTGTTTAATCATTCGGACACAGACTTTGAGGTCAAGCGCGGTGATCGCATTGCTCAATTCATTTGCGAGCGCATATCCATTCCGGAGCTGGAACAGGTCGACAAATTGGATGATACCGTACGAGGCGAGTCGGGTTTTGGTTCAACTGGAGTCAAGGAATTACCAGGAGACAAGCAGCAGATTGTAACTGCAAAAACACCAACCGATAAGAAATGCGTTTTGCGTTTTGCCAAACTCACGGAGCACGCGCTGGAGCCACAGCGCGGATCCGAAAAAGCTGCCGGCCTCGACTTGCGCAGCGCCTACGACTTGAAGGTGCCGTCACGTGGCAAGGCTATTGTGAAGACTGATCTTCAGGTGCAGCTGCCAGAGGGCTCCTATGGTAGAGTGGCCCCCCGTTCCGGTCTGGCCGTGAAAAACTTTATCGACGTGGGTGCCGGAGTTGTTGACGAGGACTACCGTGGTAACCTGGGTGTTGTCTTGTTTAATCATTCGGACACAGACTTTGAGGTCAAGCGCGGAGATCGCATTGCACAGTTCATTTGCGAGCGCATCTTCTATCCAGAGCTGGAACAGGAGGACAAATTGGATGATACCGAGCGGGGCGAGGCGGGTTTTGGTTCAACTGGAGTCAAGGAATTACCAGGAGACAAGCAGCAGATTGTAACTGCAAAAACACCAACCGATAAGAAATGCGTTTTGCGTTTTGCCAAACTCACGGAGCACGCGCTGGAGCCACAGCGCGGATCCGAAAAAGCTGCCGGCCTTGACTTGCGCAGCGCCTACGACCTCATAGTTCCGGCTCATGGCAAGGCTATTGTCAAGACTGATCTTCAGGTGCAGCTGCCAGAGGGCTCCTATGGGAGAGTAGCCCCCCGTTCCGGTCTGGCCGTAAAGAACTTCATCGATGTGGGTGCCGGTGTTGTTGACGAGGACTACCGCGGTAACCTGGGTGTTGTCTTGTTTAATCATTCGGACACTGACTTTGAGGTCAAGCGCGGAGATCGCATTGCTCAGTTCATTTGCGAGCTTATATTCTATCCGGAGCCAAAAGAGGAAGACAAGTTGGATGATACCGAGCGTGGCGAGGCAGGTTTTGGTTCAACTGGGGTCAAGGAACTACCAGAAGCTAAGCTGGCTAAGCAGCAGAATGGCAACGGCAAAACACCACTTGGCGAAAATGATGCTACACCCATTTCCACATAGAATAATGTGATAAGCTTAAAGTGCGACTTAACTAGATATTCGTAAGTTTAAAACACACACTTCTTGCACAATCATGGTTAAGAATTTCATAAATTCTATCAAAAGTATTACGTTTAAATAAAAAAAACAAAGTTTCTGTATAACATAAAGGTTCAACTTTCAAAATCTTAGAATATTAACTGTATGTATCCCCGCTATCGTGGAGTATTTAATTTGTTGATACATCTTCTGGAGATGCTCATTACGAACAGAGAAGAAATTTAGTGAAATAACAATATCGGTTTCTATTTTGACATTTTGTATGAAATTTGTTTTTGATTGATTACATTTAAGAATTTTATTTTTTTAATAGCAATCGATAGTAGGGGTAGCCCAAATATAATGTTGCTTGTCTTTATTGTAGGAATACTTATACTACGTTAAGGTAGGTCAACTGGGGGAATCGTTGGCATTGCCCTGCTCCAGTTAGCCAGAGTCAGCCAGTTATGACCGAATGAATGAAGACAGAGCTATGGGCCCACGGGCCTATCAGTTTGCGTGTCTCAAGTGCATAAGAAGTGCATATGCGGATTTTGCAGCGATTAAATTCAATGACTCCAATTTGTAATTAGACGTTGAAGTGCGGCTACACGGCTCCAGCTGCGTGCTTTTAATTGGTTTTACAGTGGTGCATCCTTGGTTGGCTTTTGGCGCAACGGTTACGCTTGACCCGAGCGCGGCGCCCAGCACTCGAGGTCAGTTCAGCTCTCCGTAGCGCCCAGTTAACTGCATTCGCTGGCAGGTATGCCTTTTTATACCCTTGCAGAGGGTATTATAATTTTGTCGTGAAATATGTAACGCATAGGAGACATCTCCGACCCCATTAAGTATATATATTCTTGATCAACCGAGTCGTTAAAGCCATGTCCGTCTGTCTGTTTCTATACGAACTAGTCCCTCAGTTTTAAAGCTATCCTTATGAAACTTTGCAGAAGTATCGAATCTTTTTGATGATTATTTTTAATATCTCGGGTAAATATTGTCTGATTTTTTAATGTTATACCTTTTTTAATTCGTACGGATCCTTACTATCAAATGGCATTCAAACAAATTACAAATCGGTTGGTTTAAAAAATTTATTGATTATTATTTGAACGACGACTTGTTTTAATATATTAAATATTATTTATTTCAGGTAAACTTCACAAAAGGGAGGACAGAAGGAAATAAGCTGGAAAAGACCAGACAAAGCTTACGTGGGCAACGCCGGATAATACCCGCATAGTGTAGATACATAAAATAAAAACTAATTGTTACAATGCTGTAAAATATTCAATTTTTTTAAATAACTATATAAATAATAATTAAGCAATGAATATACGATGTTATGAACCAAAATAAATATATTGAAAAATAAATAAATTCTGATGTTTTTATTATGTGGAATTTTTTGGGCAGCTTCGGTGAGTAATTCGAAAGAGTCGACGCCCGGCTAAAAATAGTCTGAGTTTCGCTGGAGATATGTCGTTTTAGAACGACATATCTTATTTTCCCTATTAAAACGGCGGAGATATGTCGTTTCAGAACGACATATCTTATTTTCGAAAATGAAAACGGCGGAGATATGTCGTTTCAGAACGACATATCTTATTTTCGAAAATTAAAACGGCGGAGATATGTCGTTTCAGAACGACATATCTTATTTTCGATATTAAAACGGTGGAGATATGTCGTTTCAGAACGACATATCTTTTTTTCGAAAATTAAGACGGCGGAGATATGTCGTTTCAGAACGACATATCTTATTTTCGATATTAAAACGGCGGAGATATGTCGTTTCAGAACAACATATCTTATTTTCGATATTAAAACGGTGGAGATATGTCGTTTCAGAACGACATATCTTACTTTCGTTATTTAAACGGCGGAGATATGTCGTTTCAGAACGACATATCTTACTTTCGTTATTTAAACGGCGGCGATATGTCGTTTCAGAACGACATATCTCCGCCGTTTTAATTTTATTTAAACGGCGGAGATATGTCGTTTCAAAACGACATATCTCCGCCGTTTAAATAACGAAAGTAAGATATGTCGTTCTGAAACGACATATCTCCGCCATGTTAATAACAAAAATAAGATATGTCGTTTTGAAACGACATATCTCCGCCGTTTAAATAAAATTGAAACGGCGGAGATATGTCGTTCTGAAACGACATATCTCCGCCGTTTTAATAATGAAAATAAGATACGTCGTTCTGAAACGACATATCTCCGCCGTTTTAATTTTCGAAAATAAGATATGTCGTTCTGAAACGACATATCTCCGCCATGTTAATAACAAAAATAAGATATGTCGTTTTGAAACGACATATCTCCGCCGTTTAAATAAAATTAAAACGGCGGAGATATGTCGTTCTGAAACGACATATCTCCGCCGTTTTATTAATGAAAATAAGATATGTCGTTCTGAAACGACATATCTCCGCCGTTTTAATAGCAACCCTGCTATGCAATTGTTTAATTTACCCAGAGTAAAAACAAAGACTTCAAAATTATTTTTCATTTTATCTTTATTTAATCCATAATTTATTGGATGTTTGCCAATACTAGATGTTGGTTTTACATTTTTTTAAGTGTAAATAAAAACATTACGTATTGCCTCTTCGACTTGTTGCTTACAGCTCGGACACTTAGGTTTAATTTTTTCATTTAAAGAATTATTGTTCGATTTATTGTAGGCAACAATTTGGTCGAAATTCCGGAAATATTTGATTCATCATCCCAGTCAAACATGTCCTGCCTTGAAAGTCCTTCATTTAGCGAAAGAGTCCAAGCCAAAAGCCCTGCATATCAATATCTTCCATGTCAAAAGTCCATGATCTTTTGAGCGCGGTCCTGAAAATAAAAGAAAAAGTTTAAATATATAATTTTCAATAAATTTTCAGACAACTTACACGTAGTTGCTACGTCGGCTGCTGAAAAGGAGAGCGAATTCGCGACCTTTTTTCATATTCAGCATCAATAATACACAGGACGAATTTAAAAAAATATGTCCTGTTGCTTGAATTTTGTTGCTCAAATTTGGGGTATTATAATTTTGACGTGAAATGTGTTACGCATAGAAGCAGACATTTCCAAGCCCATAAAGTATATATATTCTTGATCATCATCAACAGCCGAGTTGTCCGAGCCATGTCCGTCTGTCCTGTTCTATACGAACAAGTCTCTCAGTTTTATAGCTATATTTATGATATTAAAATTAAGTTGTTGTATGGAAAACTTTTTTGTCATTCAAGATATTTTGAATAAACACGGTATTTAAAGATTTCACTATGCTCCCTTAATTTTTGCAAAATCTTATTTACATCGGACTACTATATCATACATCTGCCATAAAAACGATCGGTCAAAAACTAGGTTATTGATTAAAAACCTGTTTTGTTTATCAAGATATCTTGTCCTTCTCGGCATTTACTATTTTCCCTGTGCTTCTAAGATACGGGCAAAGCACTATAAGCTTTATGAAAAGGTTGGGTCTTCAAGGGTATTAGATCTTCGGTGTGCCGAAGATAGCCTTTCATTCTCGTTTTTTGTATTGTATTGTCTGTTTATAATTTATTTGCTTGTGAAAAATAGCTAAGTATTTGTTTAAATATACAATATATATTTAATAAAATAAATCAATTGTTTTCTTGTCTAAACGTAAACATAATTTTTAAGTTGACCGACGCTGCTTGGTCAGTTGCAGATGCCTAGTGTTAAAATACATATAAAGATATACATATGTATATAGTAAGTATATAAAAGCTAAATATAATTAAATAAACAATATATACATTTGCATTTGTTTTTTGCTGTTGTGTGTGTGTGTGTGTGTTTGATGTTGTCTTCAAGTCTTGGAGCTCTTAAATTAATGCTGAATTTTGAATTCCAATGTGCAATGGCCGCAAAATATAAAAAAATAATTGTAAACAATTTGAACAACAGTTTTTTGCTTTTTGGGTTGCTTTTAACAAATGATTTTTAACTAGCTTTAAATATTATATAAAATGTTTATTATATATTGTTATAAAAATATATAAAATAAATAGCCTTTTCTTTGCTAAACAAATAAGGAAATCAAATTTATAAATGAAACTTGTATTTGTTGTTGTTGTTGTTGTTAAGTTGTCTGAATGTTATTTAAATATAATAATAATTACTGACTAGCAGTTATAAACAAAGAAATGAAAATATAAATTAAAAATATTTTAAATAAATTATAAATATTTATTTTATAAATGTAGTGCAAAGCAATTGCACTTAAGTACATAAATCGTTATGTAATTCATAATAAAAACTCATTTAAATTGACTAAATTGCTTCATTAATTAATTAATTAATTATTCATATACGATTGTTTTATAACTTTAAGTGTTGTTGGTAAAATCTGGTTTGTTTTGTTTTTGTTGTTTTTTTTTTTGTTTGTTTGTTTTATTTTTTCTATATTTCTATATGCAAATGGAAGACTTTTGCGATTGTTGTTGCTGTCTTAAAGTTCACAACTTTAGCTAAGCCTAGTTAAATTTCAGTTAATATTAGTTTTGATTTAAATTAGTACTTATGTGTTTTTTCTTTTCATTTGAAAGCTCATTTGGTACAACATTTGCAGTTGAAATGCAATTTGTTAGCATATAAACTATATAAAACTATGTATATATATATTATTTTGTTAATTTGATATTTGTTTATTTTGATTTAATTTCGATTGTGACAAATAACTAGCTGGCAGCATCCTTGTTGTTGTTGTTGCTGTAATTGTTGCTGTCGGCAGCATCAAAGCTGCAGGGCAACATTGTTGCAGCAACTAAGTTGTCGCTGGCCATGTTGCTGGGCCCATTGCAACTATCTGCCATGTTGCTGCTGTTGCTGCTGCTGTTGCTGCTACTGTTGGACAAACTGCTGCAACTAGTTACAGCAGTTGTTGTTGCAGTTGCTGTTGCTGTTGTTGCTGCTGCTGCTGTTGTTGTTGTTGTTGCTGCTGTTGTTGTTGTTGCTGCTGCTGCCCCACCCGTTTGCAGTGCCAACATTTGTTGCGCCTGCGCAACGCACGCAACACACGGACACGGCCCGCCCAATTTCTTCGCCAATATGGAGCGCAGCTTCAGCGCCGGCCCCAGCTTCATGCCCAGCGAGCTAACCAAATGATCCTCGGTTAGCAGCGGCAAGCCCGTGCCATCTATGCTCTGATCACGAAAGTGCTGCAAAAAGAATGAGAGAGAAAGCGAATAAGTGAGAGAGGTAAAATATAGAGGCAAGAATTAGTTTTGTAGCTAACAAAATTTATGCATGCGGCATGACCAGCTTGCAACATGCTGCTGCTGCTGCTGCTGCTTGCAACGGAGGGCGTGTGCCTCTGTGTGTGTGTGTGTGTGTGTGTGATTAATGCGCAGCTTTTAAAATTGTTAATGAAAAACGATTTTTAGCTGCTGCTGCCCCTGGTTGAGCTGGAGCGCAGTAGCATTTTCATATTTGCAACGCACGACGCCAACAGCGATTGAAAGTGGGCTGGCGCAGCCAGTTGCCAGTTGCCAGTTGCCAGTTGCCAGTTGCTGTTTGCTACTTGCAAGTTGCTGGCTGCTGGTTGCCCACCGCCACATGAGATTTCTATTATAGATTGGCCCTGATTGAATTCCATGGCCGTGGCCGCGGCCGCGGCTTTCAACCTGTTTGCCATACACAGCTGCCGCCGTCTGCCAACCGAACTGCCACTGTGCAACTGTGCAACAGTGCAACAGTGCAACAGTGCAACAGTGCAACAGTGCAACAGTGCAACAAAGCTGCCCTCCACAGCGGCCACACACTGGCCAAAATACGTGCATGCCCAAGGATCCCTAATTAAAGTTGTCTTTTTATACCAAAATTTATAGAAGTCTCACTTATGTTCATAATTCTTAGCAGAGTTTGCTTTTAGATATTCTATAGACAATCCTTGCAACATTTTTTAGATTCCGATTTATGGGCTAACGATATTTTTACTTTACTTTACAATTCCGTTTACAAACATATCTATTCGAAAGCTGACACTCTTTCAAATGAGGAATATAAAAATTTGCACTCAAGCTAAATCGTTTCAAGAATAATCAAAAAAAAAAAAGGGTTACAATAAATTGATTCAATTTTTGCCAAATACTTGTCACAATATTGAACTATGCTTGTCTGAATTCCAAAGACAGCAACAGAAAAAAAAAATGTGACATTTGAGCAGGGTTTTGCTTGTGTCTTGCAGCAACTGTTTTTGCAGTGCATGTTTTCTGGGGGGGGAGTGCTTCATGGTGGGGTCGACTGGGGCTGACCCAAGCGTAATCGATTGCGGGCGGGCAATGCGATTCGCTGCACTGAACGGCCCTCATCTATATATAAGAGAGAAAACCGGACGGCTGCTGTTTAGAGTCTGTTGAGGATCATGAGGACCCGGCTGAGCATACGCATTCTCGCCTTAGGCCTGTTGCTCTGGCAACTGCAGGCCACCGCCGTGCTGGGCCAGAAGTATTACATGAATTTCGCATTCAACAACAACAATCCGGATGGCGAGGGCGGCGAAGGATCCGACGCCCTAAAGGGACCACCCAATGGAGGCGGTTCCGCCGAGGGACCTGCCAGCAGGGGTCACAGCAGTGAACACGAAGGCAGCGGGGATCGCGCCAGCGGCGACAACAGTCAACAGGCAGACAAGAGCGACCGCGATGGCAGCAGCGATGACCGCGGTAACAGCGGCGGCAGCGATGCTGGCAGCGATGCTGGCAGCGGTGCTGGCAGCGCTGGCGACAGGAGTGCTGGCAGCGCTGGGGCGGGAGACAGTGGTGACAGTCGGGCAGGTCGCGTACAGAACAAGGACAAGAGCGCGCTGTTGGATCAGAGAGTGCACGATGACGACGACAGCGATAGCCATGATCCCGTGGATCGGCGCCAGAAGGAGGAGCTGGCGCTCGCTAAGGGCGGCAACAAGGAGCACAGCCATCACAGCAGCTATGAGATCAGCATCGACGATAGCTTCGGCGGTCGCTATGTGCGCTCCATTTATGAGAGCTCCGAGAGTCATGGCCATGGGGCCAGCAGGGCCGGTTCCGGCCGTGACAATCAGGAGAACGATAGCTCCGAAAGCCAACAGGGCAACGGGCAAAGGGAATTCGGCGACCAGGACTATGAGGAGCCCCTCGAGAATTAAAGCTAAGTTTTGTAAGTGCTCCTTTCTTCCTTTCACTTTCATTTCTTAAATCAGCCTTTCTACTTTTCTCTCGTTCATGCATCTGCGTTTACGGCATCCTGTGTCTGCAGGCCAAAGACATTTCAATTTATGAATTTTGCGCAATAAAAATTATACAATAAATAAAGGAAATCTGTGGAATTTGTTGTGTCTAATAAATTAGGTGTTTGGGCAAGCACGAAGATCAGGAAGGTTGTAAATAGTTTGAATAGGGCACAGGCCCAAAGGAATCCAAAGAACAAACTTCTAGTTTTTCACATGACAAATCGAATGATACTTATTATTTATAGTTGTAAGATCCTTCTATATTTAGTTTGATTAAAATAGGTTTAACTTATTATTTCTTCCGGGAAGACATTAATTAGCATCTGTTTTATTCCTTATGGCTTTCAAGCCTCAATTCAAAAAGGGGAATCAAATTATAGAAGTCTGTCTTGCTGTCCCTTCTTCTGGTCACACATACTTTTCCTGATCTTAAGTATTCAACTATTTTACAATTGCAGCCTGAGCACATGACAGATTATATAAGAGTTAATTAGCAAATGGAAAGTTACTTCTCGTTTATTGGGATGCAAACTATATTGTGTTCAATTGCCTACCATTCAAATAGCCACAATGGATTTATTTAGGAGCATAATAAATATTTATAACTTCCTTTCCGATTCCTTCCATGAGTTGTATTTAATAAAAAAAAACTACTGTTCGTTAGGATACTTCTTATTATTTGCCTGCAATCTCTTGCAACACCTCTTGCTTTAAAGGTTTCTAAGTTGTTTCGCGTTTATCATGCTCACCCGAGACTCTGTTGCCGAGCCAAATGCAAATCGAATGAAGTTTTATGGGTGTGCACACCTCGTAAATTCCAAGCGATATCGCAATCAACTGGGGCCTAAACACATCCGTTCCAGCCGGGAACCGAGCCTATAAAGAGAACCCAATGTTGAGGCGTGTCAATCAGTGCCGTCCTCTGTGTTATTGTGGTTGGGTGGTTCAGACAATGCTGCTCTGTTGCCTATGGGCAGCGTTGCCCCTGGTGGTGCTCGGTCAGACGTACTACATCAATTTTGTATTCAATAACTATCGCTATGGAAGTCAGTTCGAGCAGAAAACGGGAACCGAATCGACTGAACGACAGAGCAAAGAAGACAGGTCACATAGTTTAGTCGAGCAGGAAACATTAGAGATAAGCTCAAAAGAGATCTGCCCACAAGATGAGCCGCCGGATAGCGAAAATCGAAGGTTAGAGCATGTGCATCCCAACACCGACGAAACGTTTGAAATTGGAGGAGGTAAATATTGAAAATATATGACGACATATATTTTGTAGCAAATGATTTACAGCCAAGCCAACAGATTTACACATCAGTAAAGCCTCAGGTCCGCCGAAAGGCAGCAACAAGGCCACAAGTACTACAACTATCACCAAGAAGCCAAAAACCACTAGGACTACACGGAAGGGAAGTGCCGCTACGAGGCCAAGTGCCACGGGGAACACGGCAGACCTAAGCACAGGGACAAACACAGCGACAAACACAGAAGCAAATACGGCGGCAAATAAGGAAACAAGCACAGAAACAAACACGGCGGCAAACACAGCAACAAACACAGAGACAAACTCGGGGATTAACACAGCTACAAGCACAGGGGCAAACACAAGGATTAGCATAGGGATAATTAGAGAGAAAAATACAGATATAAGCAAAGAGAAACCCATAAGGATTACGATAGGGCCAGCCCCAGAGACAAATACAGAGACAGCCATCGAGAAAAATACAGAGACAACCACAGAGAAAAGTAAAGAGAGGGCCACAGAGAAAAATACCGAGACAGTCACAGAGACAAATAGAGTGACAGCCCCAGAGATAAAGAGAGAGACAGCCCCAGAGATAAAGAGAGAGACAGTTACAGAGTTAAAGAGAGAGACAGTCACAGAGATAAAGAGAGAGACAGTCACAGAGATAAATACAGAGACAGCCACAGCGAAAAATACAGAGACAGCCGCAGCGACAAATACAGAGACAGCCACAGCGACAAATACAGAGACAACCACACCGCATTGGCTAAAGGCCACGCCGCATCCTTCCGAATTTTTCGATTATCCGGAAGCCATCTGTCACGAGGATATGCAATTGCATGAGGTCTTTGGCGTTACACTGGCCCGCGATCGTGGTCTGCCCGTTAAGATTCTATGCGAGTTCCAGAATCATTGGGGCGGTCCTTGGCTATTGATGAACCGCATGGAGCTGCCCGCTCGTCTGCACATGAGGCACTGGTTCTTTGGCTATCTAACCGAAGACTACAAGGACATAAACATCAACTTCCTAGCACTGGCGCATATCATAAATACCATGCGGCTGGCCATGCTCATCATTGGCCAGGATAACAATAATGAGCTGGTCTACAATCTATACGATAATGTTGTCATCTCCGGCTTTAATGATCTCTTCATGCTACGCAAGGCGCACCTTGTCGAGGCGAACACAACGGACCTGCTCTTCGTCTCGGTGGGTGAGGTGATTGAGTCGGATGCGGGCAGGAATCGTTCGTGTCCCTTTCGGGTGCTGGGCGCCTGGTGGGGTCCCAAATGGGATAGCTCAAAGCGAACTTTTTGGTAAGTTCGTTTCCACATTAAAATGATTTATTTTTTTATTCCCATTCTGTTTTTTAAGCGTTTTTCCTGTTGAGCGTGACATCAATCGGCCCGGTTATATGGCCATATTTATCAAGCCAAATCCGTTCGAGGTTAATAATACGGCTTTTTACGAAGACGAAATTACCACCCGCCGTCCGTGGGCCTCTACAATTGATCTCGAGCTACTGGCTCGACTAGAAAATGATCGCAAAAAGTACAATGACGTTAAGGAGCAGGAGTTTCATCTCAATAAGAGAAAAGTCAAAGAGGAGATGCATCGCCGTGTGAATTTTTTCAATCAGGGCGATTATCAACCCAAAAAAGATTTGAATTTCAAAACCCTGACGACCATAGATCAGTCGATGACCAAAACGTAGCTGAGATCATAAGCAAACCTAGCTTTAAGTAGGAAAATCTAGAAAAAGACTTAAGACTTAAGACTTAGACGAAATTTATACAAATTCGAAGACTCAATAGTTTAAATAACAACTTTTATAAACTACAATTAAAAGATAACATAAGTTTAGTTTAAATTGGCGTTTAAATGATCAAATAACAAGACAAAATATTTTAAGATAAGGAGGTAAGTGTGTTAACTAGTTCTTTTTTAAAACTTATAGACCGCTCTTTTATTTACTGAAAATATCGTTCTTTGCTTACTTTCGATCGCTGGAGTAATCCGCGAGCGCATTAAATAAAACAAAGAATGAGCTTCAACTCGTTGTTTACTGAACTTGCAGCCAACTTAATAAGACAATAAAGTTATTTAGTGTTGCCAGATCGCTTGGTAGCTATTTTAACCAATATTAAATAAAGATAGAAAAAACTTTTAAGGGGAAATTTGTATGAAAAAATTGCATTAAAAACTCTGCTAATGTTTAAGACTAGTTATAAGAAAAAGAACTAGTTTTTTTTTTATAAAACTCAAGTAGAGCTGCGCTGCAAGAAACTATTGACAGTTAGCTTACAATTAAATTAGTTTAAAAAATCGACCTAACCATTTCCCACAATACCTAGTTAAGAACGAGACAAAAAAGACTTCAATGAACTGAATGCATACCGGAAATTGGTGGCTTCTTGTATGACTTCGATGTGGACTGGGACTGTCATAATTCGCTAGACAGCAAAAGCGGGAACAACAAAAAACTAGCTGAATGGAGGCTTTGATTTGGTGTCTTTGTGGTTACCAACTATATTTTGCGTTCTAAATTCTGTTCCACCAATAATTGACAAGGCAGCGCCAGCGCAACAATAGAACAACAAAAACAATGCGAATAAGTACAACTACAACAGCAAAAGATTCTGGCTTTAACTAGACGGCAAAGTTAACCATAACAATACCATCGAAAACAGATTTGAATGTGCGACTCGGTCTTGACTTTGAACTCCAATTCCGACTCCAGCTCGAACTTCAATTCCAATTGAATACCATGTGTGCTGCTGCTGCTGCTGCGGCTACTGCGGCTGCTGCTGCTGCACGCAATGTAATTGGACTTGCCGGCAACGGGGGCAATTTACAAAAAAAAATATGGAAATATGCAAATCATTTTGGAGCATCAAACAAAAGGCAAACGAAATGCAACTGTGCTCCAAGTTGTTAGCGTTAGAAATGAGAAAAGACAATAATGGACTTTAACTCTAAGAGATACTCGACTAGCAGATACTCAGTAGGCCAGTTGTAAGCGATTTTGGAAGTGCAGCCAACTTAACAATAATGACTTGGTGCTGCCAGATCGCTTAAGCAATTGAATTAGTAGTTAACGTAAAATCGTACAAGTCTGGCAGCACATTTACGAAAGGATTAAAAACTACAACTGCTTTACTTAATATTGATATCATTGTACAAAACTATATTTATCAATTTATTTCCACCCATTTTATTTCCCGCTAAATATCGTAAATAAATTTCATACTAAATGGTTCGGCTGACAGTTAATCCAGTAAATAATCTGAAAGCACCATTTAATGCTAATTTTTTGGTGTGACTTTTAAAAAGTCTAAGATAAAAATTATCAGCGATTTTGTGTGTTCTACAACAAATTAAAATCTTTTCAGCCGTTTAGCATATGAAAGTTAGTTGAATCTTAACATAAATTATACATTCCTAAGCGTGTGCCAAAAATAAATATACACCAAAAATATTTTCGAGCCTAAAGATATTTTCGAACAATAGACAAATGAATGGAAATTCCTCAAGTTTCGATTGGGTTTATGACACAACTCTTTCTGAGCCCTCGAACCGTGAATGGTTCATCTCAGCATTGGATCAACACGCGGCCTACAACATTTCAATCTAATCAAGTTTATAGTTCAAGTTTTGACACCGACTTCAAATCCAGAGATTGTCGACCAACGAAAAAAAAAAAAATGAGCTCGTGAACTGTTGATTGGATTCGGTTGCCAGAGAAGTCGTAAATATTTGTGTGTCTCGAGTTTATGACATTTCAAGTTTTTCTTTTAATAGTTGTCTCTTTTTTTGCGCCTTTCATAGATCAATAAAAATGAATTTCGGCCAAATAAAGTCATTTTGTTGCGCAATATTTACATAGAACTGGTCAGTTTTGAGACTCGTAAAAAGCAATTCTAGTTTTAGATTTACTTTTTTTTTCGGCATTTCGAAAAACCATTAACAAAAAAATCAAAAGAAGGAATAAACCGAGAAAAAAAAAAAGGAGAAGCATAAGAAGTTAAATGAATAGCAGTCCGTGCGCAAGTCAAAAGTTGAGCTCGGATCCTGTTCAAGCGTCAAATGCGAAACGTGCCGCGGACCCTTTTCATAAGCAAAGCAAAGCCCAGTAATAATAAAAAACCAAAATAAAATACAAAAATATACACAAGGGCGCACTAATAAGCGGCTACAAAAGTGCTTCTGGCTGCTTCTGGTCATCGATTGCTGTCTCGCTTGCTCCCCCTCTCTCTCGCTCTCTCACGCTCTCTGGTGCTGCTGCTGTTGAAATACATTTTAATTTGAACGGGGCAAACACACACAAAAATGAATTTCAAGCTGCAGCGCCGAGCAGCAGCTCAATTGTATTTCTGCGCTCAATTTAGTTGTACGGATTTTGACCTGCTTAACCTTAAAGCCGGAGCCCAACAACAACAACAGCAGCAACAACTTTAAATGTACCACCAACAGCAGCAGCAGCAGCAAGGGGCACAAGCGAAGACAACAATTTGAATTCTAAATTGAACAGCTTTTTGTGCTACCTATGCCCGGGAGCAGTCCACATAGCCGCGTCGGCTCGAGGAACGTGGGCCGACCTGCTGCCAAGACAGCAACTGAGGCCTGTTGCTGCTGCTGCTGCGCTGCTGCTGTGGCAATTGCGCCCAACTACCTACTCATTGTAATTCTTCATGTCTGGCCAAAAGCGACTCGACTGCGGCTACGAGTTCGACCTGATTGCCGTCAGCATCAGCAGCAGCAACAGTCGCCGTGGCCCATCAACAACCTTTGGCTGGCCGTTGCTGCTGTTGCTGCTGTTGTTGTTGTTGCTGCTGCTGCTGCTGCCCAGTTGGTTGTTGTAGCGATCTGCCCACCTAAAAAGTTGACTTGTTTGGCTACACTCCACTTGTGACTTTGGCTTTGATTTTGGTAGCTACCAAGTACGAGTATTTAATGATTTTGTATTTCGTTTCTCTGTTGCTGCTGCTGCTGTCTGGCTGGCTGGCTGGCTGACTGGCGAGTGACCGGAGCAACCAGCAATTACGCTTAATGCCAAACATCCTCTGGTGTGCGGTGGCTGCGGTTTGATCTTGTTACGCATTCAGGCAATACTAGGTGGGCTCATCCCCCTTCCAGCCGAGCCAGGCCAATCCGAGGGCCAATCCAAGGGCTGGGCCAGTGCATCCGCAATACTGCGCCAGCTTGATGGGCATGTTGCCGGCAACAATGGCAAACTATGTGGCATATACAAGATCAGCAGCAGCAGCAGCAGCAACAACTGCAACAAATGGCAATCGCTTGGGCACGCGCACTAGCCGAAAGGTGTTGGAAATTGAGCTTGGGCTCTGGCATTGAGACCCAGTTTAGTTGAGCGCTTGATTGATTCTAACAGTCGGGCAACGCTTTGCACTGCTGCTTTAAACAAAAAGCTCGCTTATTCTATTAGATAGTTTAGTAAATTACACAAAGGCTGCCCTAAAGGCCCATCGAAATCTGGCCAGCCTGTGGCCGAGTGTCCGACTCTGGGTTGGGTAATAAATAAGTTTTTTCTTTTCACAGCTACTGCCGCAAGCATAATGAAGTCGTGCTACAGTGGTTCGATCGGGAAATGTGCAACTTGCTTTGAAGGCAGAAATTTAGTATAAGAAATCTTATTAATATCTACTAAAATTTAGGGAAATTTATAGCTATTCAGAGTTAATTTATCGATATGAAAACATATCGAAGGTTATATTAATTTATGGACATATCGCAAACCGATAAAATTGCAATATCTTGCAAACGATTTTATAATTTTTACAAATGTGTAACAATCCAGAATTTTATATAGATACATTAACTTCTATTAATAACCAACTTTTATCGATAAATATATCGAAAAAAATATCTTAGTCTCGAGTAATAAATAAAATTATTATTATATTTATATTACCTATATTATTTATATAAATATAGACATTTATACAGCTCTCAAGAGTTTCAGCCCAGCGTGCAATCATGACCAGCACAATATTATATCTTGGGGTCAAAATATTAGCAAATTTGATGTGACCCAACGGAAAGCAGCAAAAGAAAAGGTTTTAACTGTAGTGAAGAAACGGCAAGACCCTCAAAGAACCCCAAAGACCCTTGAAGACCCTCGACTACAGCGAGCGCTGTTAATTTTCTTTGGCAGCATCTTGAGGTGGTGCGCGGAGTTCGAGTGGGGCACATAATCAGTTTATTTTGGTTACCTTTGGTTTCTCTCTCTTTTTTTTTGCCACAAGAAAAGGCAAAAGGAGAAGCAACAGCAACAGCAGCAGCAGCAGCGGCAGAAAGTGCCCCGGGTTACACGCCAAAGATACAATTTTAGATTATATGCCCCAACTGTGCGCATGCGCATAATAATAATGCATGCAACGAGCTGCGAGAGCTGTTGCTGCAGCAGCAGCAGCAGGAACCGTGTTGCAGGGTATGCGGCGGCAGCAGCAGCAGCAACAACGACGACGACGAGTAGTCAATTGGCAAAGGCTTTTGAAGAGTGGCTCAGCTCATGCCGGCTTCCTGTTGGCTTCGAGAGGGGGGGCGGGGCAACTGCAGCTGGGGGGAGACACACAAAAAAGGCGTGCAAGTGGGTATAATCATCATCAGCTTTGATAACACACCACGAGCGACGTCGACGCCGCTGCCGCTGCCGCTGCCGACCTGCCGGGACTTGTGGCCCTGCTTCTTTTTTCGAATCCGGCAATGCGGGATCCCGAACTCCAACTCGAACCCGAACCCTGATCTTTGCTGCTTGGCATTTGACTTTCGGTCTCGGACTGGGGTTTGAATACCCCGCATTTATTGAAAACTGATAGAAAGGGCATGATGATTTTTGGCTCCTCAATATAGATTCCTGATCAGAACCGAAAATGTAGGTCTTTGTTTATCATATGCAGTATATAAGTATATATGTATTTTTTCAACAGATCTCACAATTTGTACAAAATTGATAAATATCGATTAAAGACCCAATTTTCTCAAGGCAG